GCAGTCCTAGAACACCATTGCATGAAATTTAATTTTGGTTTAATATTTTGAATGTCATTATGCAGAAATTCAGAAATTATGCAGAAAACCAATGCCATTCTTTATACTTATTTAAAAGTGTTTCAAGTTTTTCCACAAGTAATAAAAGTATGAAAAAAGTAAACAAGTTTCACCCAAAAGTTTAGTCATAGTTCTGCTGCCATTTTGAACAAAATGAACAAAATTCATTCTAATGCTCATTATATTAGCGTTAGCCACACTTATGCTAACGATTAACTACGTATATGCTAATGGAGATGTTTATTTCAATAGAACGAGCACCGATTTGCCTCCGATTTCGGGCATTTGTCGGTGATTTGGCAAAGCCTGTCGGCGAGCCTCACTTTCGTCCCCAAACTGCTTAGAAAGAAACTCATCCATCAAGTACATGCCACCCTCAGCTCAGGGCATCCGGGTATCACTGCTACTCTGCACCTTCTCAAGATTCGGTTCTGGTGGCCAACCATTTCAGCAGACACTGTGGTATTCGTCAACAACTGCACAGAATGTAACACATCCAAGAATTCACGACAGTTACCCGCCGGCCTACTGCAGCCACTTCCCATTCCTCAAAGCCCATGGTCTCATATAGCTGTAGATTTCGTCACAGATCTGCCAAACTCTCAGGGCTATACCACCGTTCTTACAGTCATCGACCGGTTCTCAAAATCCTGTCGCTTCATTCCTCTACCCAAACTTCCCACTGCCTTCGAAACAGCTGAGGTACTATGCAATTATGCATTTCGATTCTATGGTCTCCCCGAAGATATCGTGTCCGATAGGGGTCCTCAATTCACTTCTCGAGTCTGGTCAGCCTTCTTCAAACATCTCAACGTGAATGTCAGTCTTACTTCTGGTTATCATCCGCAATCCAATGGTCAGACGGAACGACTGAACCAAGAACTTTCACGCTTCCTCCGAGCTTACTGTCACCAAAACCAAACGGATTGGAGCAAGTTCTTAATGTGGGCCGAGTATGCACAAAATTCTCTCCAGAAGCCTGCCACTGGCGTGACACCCTTCAAATGTGTCTTAGGCTACCAACCGCATCTGTTCCCCTGGTCAGGGGAACCGTTTGACTTATCCTCTGTTACCTGCTGGCTAAGATGCAGCGAAGAAACATGGAATCAAGCACACACCCATTTGCAGCGGGCTTTGAGAAGACAGGAGGAACAGGCCAACCGTCACCATCGTCCTGGTCCTGAATACACCCCGGGGCAGTGGGTTTGGCTATCCACCAGAGACATTCGCCTCAGACTTCCTTGCAAGAAACTCAGTCCTAGGTATGTTGGTCCAATCAAAACCATTAGACAAATTACACCAGTTTCGTTCCGTCTAGATTTACCTGCTATTTATCCTACTTTTCATGTTTCGCTGTTGAAACACAGGAGGGGCACAGGAGGGAGAGACCGAGGTTCAGATGCCCCCGCCCATTCTGGTCGACGGCGAGGAGACGTATCAGATTCAAGAACTGGTCGACTCACGACGCCGGGGCAGTGTTCTCCAGTACCTGGTTGACTGGGAGGGGTACGGTCCGGAGGAATTGTCCTGGGTCAACGCAGGGGACATTCTCGATCCGTTAATCACTGAAGAGTTCCATAGGACACATCTGGAAAAGCCGGCCCCTCAACCACGTGGACGACCCCGGCGTCGCTTGTCCCCTTGCGTCAGGAGCCGCTCGCAGGGTGGGGGCCCTGTTACAAGTGAGGCTCCCGTATTGCCTCTCTTGCACCACCAGAGGGAACCTTCACCTGAGTATTGACTGTTTTGATTCGGACTTCAATTCCCATCAGCCTTCATTCCTAAGACTGATTGCGCTACACCTGCATCCAATCATTCACTCACTCTTACACGCATTTAGCACTGCTCACTCACACTCTCATTGCGAAGTCTTGATTTGCTACAGTGGTCATTTCTGAGTGTTCTTCTGTGCATTATCTTCTCTGTGTTTGAACCTGGACTGTATTCTCGTGTCTGATCCTTGCTGCCTGCCTCGACCCTCTGCCTGTTACCTGGACTGTGATTGTTTATCTGCCTGCCCCGACCTCACGCCTGTTCTCTGGTTTGTGAATGTTAATCTGCCTGTCCCGATCTCTGGCCTGTTATCTGGACTGTGAATTCTTTGCCTCTTCTGAGCTGTTGCCTCTGTACTATAGTTATCATTGTGATAATAAAGCTGCAGATGGATCTTCACTCCTGTATTGCCTCTCTTGCACCACCAGAGGGAACCTTCACCTGAGTATTAACCATTTTGATTCGGACTTCAATTCCCATCAGCCTTCATTCCTAGGACTGATTGCACTACACCTGCATCCAATCATTCACTCACTCATACACACATTTAAGCACTGCTCACTCACACTCTCATTGCGAAGTCTTGATTTGCTACGGTGGTCATTCCTGAGCGTTCTTCTGTGCATTATCTTCTCTGTGTTTGAACCTGGACTGTATTCTCATGTCTGATCCTTGCCGCCTGCCTCGACCCTCTGCCTGTTACCTGGACTGTGATTGTTTATCTGCCTGCCCCGACCTCACGCCTGTTCTCTGGTTTGTGAATGTTAATCTGCCTGTCCCGATCTCTGGCCTGTTATCTGGACTGTGAATTCTTCACCTCTTCTGAGCTGTTGCCTCTGTACTATATTTATCATTGTGATAATAAAGCTGCAGATGGATCTTCACTCCTCTGACTCGTCGTTACAGGTACATTGTAACATCTGAGGGGCACGTTGTAACATGACCATATGCCAGCTTAAAATATTATCTGATTTAATGAAAAAAAATATACAAGACAAACTCAAATATTTTGTTAATAAAATAAAATATATATATTTTTTAAATAATTTAAAACTGGTTAGTGTCTTCTGCTAGTTATCAAAGCATTAAAAAACGATCTGAACTGATAAATAACAGATTGGAGATTGAAATAATAGCAGATTTGTTTCATTTTAAATGAATAATAAAAACTGAGATGAAAAATTTAATTAAGCCAGAATTTTAATGTTCAGCGATATATCTTCAAAAGATTTGTGAATTTTGGCGCACTTTTTTTTCTATATAATGTTGATATGGTAACTAATAAATACTGTAAATTGTGTTATGCTAGCATGTGTGGAAATATTCAAACCACGTGTGTTACAACTAACCACGCGTTACTTTGTGCCCCACGCTCCCCTAGTGTATATTGTAAAACAAAATTTCTATTTTGAATAAACACTGTTCTTTTTAACTTTTTATTTATCAAAGAATCCTGAAAAATATCACAGGTCCCAAAAAAATATAAAGCAGCAGAACTGTTTCCAACATTGATTATAAAAATCAGCATATTAGAATGATTTGTGAAGGATCATGTGACACTGAAAACTGGAGTAATGATGCTGAAAATTGCTTTGCTTCATAGGAATAAATTATATTTTAAAGTATATTAAAATAGAAAACTTTTATTTTAAATTGCAATAATATTTCACATTATTTTGTGAAATAATATTCAGTATTTTTATCAAATAGATACAGCCTTGATGAGCATAAGAAACTTCTTTAATAACCCGAGGCAGGTACATTGTAACATCTGAGGGGCACGTTGTAACATGACCATATGCCAGCTTAAAATATTATCTGATTTAATGAAAAAAAATATACAAGACAAACTCAAATATTTTGTTAATAAAATAAAATATATATATTTTTTAAATAAAATAATGGCGTTTTTTAAAAATGAAAAATAATCTGATTTTGGAGTTTGACAATGAAAACACATTGCAACCATGCTTGGGATGGCCCACATAAACAAGCAAAAATGGTTTACATGTCTTGAAATAATAATGTCTGAACATTAAACATTGACTGTCAGTTTTTATTCACCTGTTTCTCATTGTTTCTCATTAAAATTCATTAATGTAAATAGTGTAAATTACATCGCTAATGTAATAGAATAGCATATTGTTACACAGTTACAACGTGCCCCATCTGTGCAATTGAAGAGAAAAGTTTTGCTCAGCAAGAAAAAAAATTTGAGGGAACATTGACCACAGGTATTCATTTTTGTGTTCCTTGATGTGCTTTTTTTAATTCTCCAAAACAGGTAGCCACTGATTTGCATTTTATGATCACCAAGCACCACAGTTTCAGCTAAAAACTTTACTGTTCTACTGAAGATAAAAAGTCAACTACATCTTGAAAAGCCTGAAGATGAGTAAATTAATATCAAAGTTTCTTTTTTGGGTGAACTATCACTTTAATCCTGTTCTGTACACACACATTTCAGTAATATATGGAAGTGACAACTGCATTCTACAGCCAAATCAAAAATAAGGTAGTGAACGTTATAGCAACACTTAACAACATGCTAGAAATGCCTAACAGTCAACGGAGAATGGCAATTACTTATGTCTAAAGTGGTTTCTTAGATATCTAATAAGGTTCTTACATGTTTTTCTATTAAAATATTCAGTTATTTGTTCAATGAACACATTTATCCTAACTTATACAGCACTGAAAGTATACATTTAGGAGTCTGAATAGATCTAATGAGGTCTGGAGTAATCTGATGGGGTCTTTAGGGGTTCTGATATGGTCTAATAAAGTCTGTCAGGATCTCATGCGTTTTTGTGTTAAAGGTTATGACGTTTTGTAAAACCAACAGTAAAGTTTGTCAAGACAAACTCTATATATCCTTACATTTTAAAAATACTTTTATTTAAATATTCAGTTATTTGTTTAATGAACAAATTTATCCTAACTTATACAGCACTAAAAAGTATACACTTTAGCAGTTCATGCATTTCTCGGGAACTGAGCCTTTGACCTCTGGTTACAGAAACATCTATGTACATTAATACTTTTCTCTGGAAATGCAATTTAAAACATTTAAGCATAAACCTTTTGGTGAAGTCATTTTAAAATTTATTCAAAACATGCATTTAATCAGGTGCGTGCAAACGTGTTTGGGTAGTGTATGCCTGTACCTGCTGTTGTAAGGCAGTTTTCTTCATCACTGTTATCTTGACAGTTATCCTGTCCATTGCATAGAAAACTGCGATCTACACACCGTCCATTGTCACAGTGGAACCGTGCAGATGAACACACCAGAGGATTAGAAGCTGTGGAGTGGGGAGAGAGATGAATAAATGAACAGTATTATTACTTGTTATTGTTTCATAGATCTCTCTCTTTCTTCTACTATAATGAATAAAATATGATTTCATTTTATATATATTCAAATTTATTTATTCAAATATGACAAATAAAAAGTGGCAGAACCTGATTTTACCAAGTGCGACATGTTCCTGGATCAACATCTTTGTTTGAAGATGTTGATCAGATTTGAAGAATCAGTATATAGTTTTTGTGAAGTTTAGGCTTACAATCAGTGTTTGGTGCTTGTACATCAGTGTCATTCATCTATCATTTCCTCTGATTTTAGGGATTACTCATGGTTAAGGTTAGGTTTAGGTGCAGGGATATGGTCAAGACTAAAGTTTAGATTAAAATGTTGTTCCAGGGTCAACAAAATATGTTGACCTAGGAACACATCTAACTCAGCAAAATCAGGACGTGCTGAAAAGTGCTCAAATTTCATATAATATAAAAATTATATAAAATACTTTGTCATTGCATGTCAAATTATCTAAATTTAAAAAAATGTGTTAATATTTTCTTATGAAGAAAGACAAACATAAATAGTTATGAAAGCCAAAATATTAAATGTCATAAATGTATATTTACTGAGTAATCACAGGGATGTGAAAATGATATTAGAAAGATGGCAGCATCTTTTATTTATTTATTTATTTATTTTTACAAAGAAATTGGTAGATTTATTAATAAAATCGTTTGCCTTTAGCAATCTTTTTTGCAGTAAATGCTGTTGGATCAGATTCAATAAAAAATGAATTTCAATCTCCTAACCAATCCTCACACACAGGAATCTTAAATAAATCTTAAATAAAACAGGTGAACTAGAAATTTATTTTGCTGATTTAATTATAGAAAGTTTACAAAAAAGACACGACAAGGCTGTCAAAAAAAAAAGAAGAAGAAGAAGGAGAGGTGAAGAAAGACACAACCAGGACTGTCTCGGTTGCGTATGTAACCTTCGTTCCCTAAAGGAGGGAACGGAGAGACATCACGTTGATGACCGATGAAATTGGGGATCTTGCTAGAGAGACCAATCTACTTTGAGTGTAAACTAAATGAGCCAATGCACACTGGCATGCGATGATAGCATCTAGCTGCCGCTGATTGCAGCGTGAGTATAAATAAGCAGAAGATGCAACACATACTCAGGTTTTCGCTGAGGAGCCGAGCCGGTAAGCCGGCCACTCAGCGGTGGTACAGCAGCCGTGGCAGCGGCCCTTGAACGAATTCAAGCAGTTCAACATCGACTGCACACAATCCTCTGTGAGGCGTTTTGTCTGTTGGACCGAATCCATCTCCATACTGAGAAAAGAGATCCTCTGCATCGGGGAGAGTTTGCTCTTTTCCTCACCCAAATGGCTGAGGTGCCTGAGCACCAGGTTCCTGTGCTCGCACAACTGATCCCGAGACTGAGCTAGTATAAACCAATCTTGCTCTCTGAGGGGAACAACAGCCCCCTCCGCAACTTTTGCAACACGGGGGGAGAGGGACAGGACCTTGTATTGATATGCACGTCCTTCAAACGCAAACTGCAGAAATGGTCTGTGTCGGGGAAGGATCGACACGATCGCTGTAAACCAATCTCGGGGATGGATGCACCTGAAAATGCGTTTCTGTGTCAACATCTTGAATGGTAGGGCACGGTCCAAGACACGCAGGTCCAAGATTGGTCGTAACCCACTGCCTTTCTTGAGTACAATGAAGTAGGGGCTGTAAAACTACGTCTTCATAACGGCTGGAGGGACCGGGCCCAGATACCGTTCAAGCGGGACTAGTGGAACCACCGATGTGGGGCAGTAAGGTGGAACGCAGGGACCCAGCTCTGGCGGCTTATAGGTGAATCGAAGAGGGGTCTGAGTGTGCGGTGCAATGCTTACCTGGTTCCACGGGCAGAGGGTGCATGAATAGGGCTTTTGATGATGCTCTTGAACCGCCCGCTGCTGCCTGCTGCCGACAGAGGAGGATGAGCGTGTTCTGGATTTCGTTTGTCCGTGACTCTCCGTGCCCTCTTTGGGACCCAGAGATAGAGAAAACTGCTCTATTGTTGAGATTTTTGGAAACAAAAGATTCTCCACCCAGCCGTCCTCTGGAGGAGGGAGAGGTGCTTTCACCATTTCCTGAAGAGCAGTTCCCTCCCTCTCTGGGTCGCACCACCGTTGAGAGTGGTGATGGAGAAGGACGCTAGCAGGTCGGTTTTCAGCAAAAAAAGGTGCCGTCCACAATCTGATAAGCTCTTCATGCACCTTCGGGAAGAATGGCGCTGGGGCGGGGCATTGAGAACCAGCATGGGCCACCCCGTAAAACCAATCGTCCAACCTTGAGGATTGAGGACACAGTGGAAGTCGCCACTTGAACCCTTAGTCTTTTGGTGGCTTGGGAAAGCATAGCCGTTATTTCCAGATCCGATTCAGGTGTTGCTACTGTCCCGGAGGGCAGCAGCACAGCCGAGTCTTTCTCTCCAGAAAGCTCCGCCTCACCCTTTGATGCAGTGATCAACATCCAATTGTCAGGAGGAGTGCCAAAGGATACTGCTGGTATGCTCCTTGTAGAAGACCCATCACGTTCCTATGGAAGCTGAACTGGTGGCGTGCAAGAGAAGCAATGGTCCCCCGAGAGTTAGTTCCCTGGAGAATTTGCCATCACTGTTACCCTCAGACCACCCGTGCTACTGCCTGAAATAGCCCCCACTTGGCTACCGCCAAGACGAGAATTCGATTGAGACAGAGGTTACCCCGCCCCCTTTGAGGTAACGGAGCTTGGTCCTCAACTCCGAGATGGTCATCTTCCCGCAATAAGAACATACCTCATCCACGAACGCCACCTCAGGGTGCTTAATGCCCAGACACATGAAGCATCGATCGTGACCATCACCCGATGCCATGTAACAACCGCATCCAGAAATGCACGGGTGATTCGTTGTATATAGCAAGACGCAACATCGTCTTTACAAAGACGCAATATTAAGATTTCCAGATGCAACATCGTCTTTAAAAAGATGCACCAGTGAATGATCTTTTAGGGAAAAAAGCTCTTTTAGCGTGCTGAAGCGCACAGGGGAGATGGTCGTCTGCAACACAAACAGGGGGTAGTGCAGCCTGATGTGTGCAACCCACTCGAAACGGGAAAACAACCACCACTGTTGCACTGTTCCACCAACATGAAGAAGCTACATTAGAGTGCGCTGAACTCGTCCCATTCACAACTGAAGCTTGGTAAGAGTGATTGACACCGCTCTGCTCCGAAGCAAAAAGCTGAGTATGCATTGCACCTGCTGCCTATTTATACTCACGCTGCGATCAGCGGCAGCTGGATGCAATCATCGCATACCAATGTGCGTTTAGTTTACACTTGTCGGTCATCAACGTGATGTCGAGAGTAACCGACTGAAAAGGAACAGAAGGAGCTCATTTCTGCTGCAGGGGTTATGATAAGAATAATGTACATACAAGTTAAGCATTGCAAACAAATACACACACATACATAACCACCTGACTATACAGAGGGCCATCGTTGCTATGGTTACTAAAGCACAGGAAACATGACCTTTGTCATAGTTACTCTGCTTACAGCTGCAAAAAAATTTCAGTTTGTAAAAGCAACACCTCTAAACAGCGAAGCAAATCTATCTTTATTTCGGTCTGCAGATTCAACACCTCTAAAAGTGTAAGTGAGACGCACACACACACATAATCAGCATCTTTCCATGTAACGGTTGCTAACCACAGCAGAGACACCTGCTTTTCCTCTCACCTCTACAGGATGTTAGCTAAACTGGGTAGGGGGCCCCAGGCTGTTTTCAGAAGCAGCACTGCCATTTTGGAGTTTCAAAACGTCAATCTCACTTATCATTTATTAATTCTCTCATGTTATCTCTATATATCTATTAGTGGCGTTCCGTCCATATAAGCTGCGAATGCGCTGCATTCCCAGGCCATCTGAGAGAATGAGTTCACGGGCTAATTAATAAAAACATGATTATAAGTTGATCCCTTGTCATTTGAGATGTGACCCAAAGCTTAATAAAGTGCTGGGAATAAGTATGTAAAATTATTTATTTGAAAACAACAGTAATTTTCTGTAAATCCATGTCAGTTACGGAATCTTCCAGGCGAGCAGATTCTCCGCAGATTTCTTGCCTCCGCTCTGTTGCTATGACTCTATTTATTATTGATTAAATAATAATTTAATGATGATGATTATAGCGCATTCTCAGTGATTTGCTATAATAATAAAAAAAAAGGTTTATAAAAATGTATATAAAATTTTAAATAATAACAAACACCAGGAAAAAATAGGAAACAATACCTTTGTTTTTCGTATACTTGTGTCGCTTGCAATTAAAGTCCATTTCTGATTTTATTGTTGTTTGCAACGTTACTTGGCAATATCTTAAAGATATTATTATTATTATTATTTTGGTATTTTACATGGTCTATTATTGGAGTAGTGTCACCCGGGTGGGAGTTTGAACTCCTTTTCACTGGGAATAAAAATAAATGAATAAAAAAAAAAAATTCAGTCGACTATATAATGTAATGCTTGTAACACATTCACACCGCATCTCAAGGTGAAGACTTTCTCGCTGTTATTTTGATTGATTACTTTTGAGTTTGTTTTATTAAAGTGAAGCCATTTCAAATGGTGATGAGTTAATCCTCTCTTAAAACAAGTCTAGGAGTGATTTATTCCTTCATAACCTATATCAGAACCTAAACAACATTCTGTGCTTCGGGTGACTGCTGCCCAACTGTGCATTTTCTCACTCACAGCAGTAGTGATTGAGACACTGCATGGCTTGCCATACTCCTTAATTTCCATAGCAACCTCCTTCATATGAAAATCTAAAGTGTTATGGCACGTATTAGAACAAACAGTTGCCTTGGCTGCACATTGGATACTCACTGCAGTTGTCTTCATCGCTGCCATCCGGGCAGTCTCTGAAACCATTACACTGGAAGCGGCCAATAATGCAGTGGACCCCGTTTGCACAAGCAAAGAATGTGGGTGCACATTTTGCCTTCACCTTCACTGTGAGGAGATGAGAGAAGGAGAGAGAGAGAAATAGAGACAAAAAAATGTAGGTTCTGTAGGAAAGTGCAAACTCTTTCTTATCAAAGCAAAACAAGTACATACACAATGAGATAACACGGTTTCAAGCACACAGAATCTGATAACACTGCTATACTACATAGCGCAAACATGTAGCATATGTTATATGCTACAAACATTGCTTTTAAAAGGGACCAGTCAGTAATAAAATGAAGAGGAAAGAAATACAAGCAATAGAACAAAGAAATCTTGAAACTGGTCCAATATCAAGTTGTAGAGGGTTTATTAAAGCTGCTAAAGTTATTCAGAAAAGAGCAATGAGTTTTTTTTTTGCTTGATTTTTAATGAATAGACAATGGCAAGTCTTATTAGAATACATTTACACAGTAAATTCCTGAGTGTTAAATTAACACTGCTTGGAGCATATATGGTCCCACTCTAAAAGAGTGTTAAAGTAACACTAACATTAGTTTTTCTCTGGTTGCTGTAACTGTGTTTATGAAACACATTTGTTATGGCAAGAAAAACTAGGAGAAAACGTGATCAGGTTATATTGGCTGTTTTTTGATACTGTTGTAGTTGTCATGCATGGCCGGAATCACGGATGTCATCAGTGGTGATGTGTAATATAGTTTGTTATTGATAACACCTGCATTTTAAAGAAATACGAAGAGCTTTAAAAAACACTTTGCACACCAGTTTAGAACATCTGTGCTGTTTAGACACACAGACATCAAGGATCAGCATATGAATCTCAACAATGGTGACGATCATCAGACAGATTCATGTTGCAGTGCATTCTGGGTGCACCAATCATAACTCATCCATGGCTCCCAGCATGCATTGCAACATGAATAAATTATGCCGCTGCATTGTCTTTGGATTTTCTTTTGTTCTTACTATTTGCTTTGATTTTTGTTGTGACTTTTTACTGCCTTGTTTTGTGACGTTCAAAAAACATATCAACATTATCAGAATATTTAGTCACCATCGCTGAGATTCACATGCTGATTCTTCATGTCTATGAGTGCCAGACTTTAAACTTCTTTATGAGCCATATTTCTAAAAAGGGTTTATATAGTTTTCTCACATTGTCTCATATCGCAGAGCTGCAATAACACACACATATCATTAAAGCACTACAGATTTAGACAAAATGCAATCACAAACCCAGAAACATGAAACGACTTTATCATAAGTTTCTTGTTGTTTCTCTTTTCTTCAGTGATTCTGCTTGTTAACAGCGAGTGTTCATCACTAATGATCAATCAGAACTTAATTAATAACATAATCATCTCATTAACTTTAACACTGCTTCAGTGTTACTTTAACACTCTTTTAGAGTGGGACCATTTATGCTCCGAGCAGTGTTAATTTAACACTCAGGATTTTACTGTGTACAATGCAAGACTGCACATATGAACTTTAACTGACTGTGTTTAACTATGAGAAGACATACTGTACATTGGGGTGCCCAATGCTGTTCCTGGAGTTCCACCCTACTCCAAAGTTCAGTTCTAACCCTGCTCCAACACACTGGTTTTTGATTATCAAGTGTTCCTGAATTTTTTTAATTAGTTGGTTCAGGTTTATTTGTTTAGGGTAGGAACTAAACTTTGCAGGTAGGTAGATCTCCCTCACTGCTGTACATTAACATATTGCCAAGACAAGACCTATAGCACCACCTCACACCAAACCAATTCTGATAAAGATATCATAGCAGCTCCATACTGTCACAACAGGTCAGGCAAAATGAGGAGTAATGAGTGTATTTAAAAATGAGTGTATTCCACTTGGAATACAACCAAACACAGCAGTAAACATGGCAGTAAATATCAACACAAGACATAGAATAATAATCAATGAAACTGAAAACAATTGAACAACTTAATCAGTGTCTATGGAAATGAAAAAGAAGTGGGAAGAAGGGTAACAAAGGAAACAGGAACAAACCACAGGAAAACCAGGGCCAGCATTTATCAACAGCGCGTTCGTACAGATGTTTGAGTAATGAGTGCATAAGAACAGTTTCACGCAACTCAACAAACCAAAGGCAATATAGAAATAGTGTGGGATCTACCAACTTGTACTTATACATAGGAATGTATGTAAATATCAGCACAACTCTAAGCATGCTTATGCAGAGAATCTAGTTGTAGAATGGTGATACTACAAAAAGAAAGTGCCGCCACGTGTTTCCTGTGTCTTTAATTGCAAATATTAAATTAATAATTTCATAGTTCAAACTACAGATTTACATAATTGGTGTGAAACACTATAAAAGACAGCTGGGAAGTCATTTGAAGGTTGAAGGGGGCAAATGTAAACAAAGGGGGTGGTAAGCAGAATGGAGGGAGGAGCCAGGGTGGAGCCTTGAGGGGGCTCTGGGGAACCAAGGGGATGACGACTGAGCTGGAAGTGGTGGACACTCGGGCAGTGCCAAAGAGATCCAGGGTGACACCACTGTTCTGGAGGGCCAAGGAGGAGCTGATGCTTGGATGCTGGGCAGGACCAGCGAGATAAAGGAAGACGCTCGAGGACGAAGTCAAGGGTGGGAATTGGCTCACTGTCATCTATAAGGGACTGGTGATGACAAACAAACCTCAGGAGCAGGGGAATGGGTGGACTCTACTCCACATAGTCCAACTTCACCAAGATTTCCACTGGGACCACCGGACTGGTGGTCCGTCATTTTTTTGATCGTACAGATAAGAGTAAGGCATTGTTTGAAGCTGCAAAGGGTCTACTTTTATTTTTGTTTACTTTTATTATGTATAGTCATAATAGCAACAAAGCAATGTTCTTTTGAAAAATAAAGAAAACAAACAGGGTGCGCTCTCTGCCGTCTCGGTCTCTGTCAAGTTTCTTCACAGACACATAAATAAAACAATCTGAATCTCAGCGAATACTTGCCTCACAGACATGATAAATATGTGATGTGATCTAGGAAAGCCCACCACATGGTGAAATTTTACCTTTTTTAGGTTTTGATACCATGTGAAAGCCATGTGAAAAGGTTTTTATTTTGTCCATAGCTTGAACATAAAAGTTATGGCTATCTGAAGTTGGCTGATAGCTATGATTTTCAGGAATGGAATTTTGAGAAAAGCGGGTTTAAAGTGAGACAGGTTTTACTTTCACTTCACGGGTTTAACAAGAGCTGTCTGTCAGGAGCTGCATCATTACACAAACAGACTAACGTTACCCTGAAGAGGACGATTTTCCATTGTTTATCATTGGAATAGCCCATTAAAAAATAAATAAATAAAAAAACTTTGTGTGCCGTAGTTTACACAGGACTGGCGGGACATTGATACACCTTTATTATAGATGTTACGTGGTTTATTTAGATAGGTTAACTGTTTTTGTGGTGTTAAGAGAAAGCACCTCCGCAGCACGTTCTTAACATAAGAGAAAGACACAGTCTTTTCTGCTTGCTGCAATAAATCGCTATTTTTCTGCAATAAACAAGTGAATTTTGCCAAGATATTTTTTAGAGATGATAGACAAGATGTTATAGAATAATAATTTAATGAAAACCTAATTTTGACAAAAAATTGACATTCAACCTATTTTTTTAATTTCCTGAAAACGTCCCAGCGCGACATCCGACAGGTTTTCCCAGATCGCATCACATATATGTATAGAAAGGTTGAAATGTCTACTTCCAAATTACGTCACATTTGAAAACAAATTTTCTCTGGTAAAGTAATCCGTATAAAAACTAATGAGAAGTAAAATTTTTCCTGTCTGAGCTCATTATCTGTAATGTGAACACAGCCGAACATGTAAACGCCTATATCACCTCCGTAAACAAAACGTGAAGATTCATTAAGTTCATCTGGGCTACTTTTCATTTTTGGAAGAAGACACGCTGAGAGAAATAAGCCAGAATTTACCTCAGAAGAAGAACGCAAGCCATCGGAGGAGATGATTTCTGATAAGTCTTTTTTTATTACTAGATGTTTATAACATAACAATAATAATTTAGTTTCTCAGATATAAAAAGTTTTTGTATTGTATAATACATACAAAGCATGTTTATGACTAAAAAACATGTTTTTTTGTCTTTTTTTTTTGTTACGAGTACACAGTAAATTCCCGAGTGTTAAATTAACACTGCTTGGAGCATATATGGTCCCACTCTAAAAGAGTGTTAAAGTAACACTGAAGCAGTGTTAAAATGAATGAGATAATTATGTGATTAATTAAGTTCTGATTGATCATTAGTGATGAACAGCTGCTGTTAACAAGCAGAATCACTGAAGAAAAGAGAAACAAGAATTACAACTGACTTCAGCCACAGCCTTAGATGAAATCTGAAATAAAAGAAGACATTAAATCTCTCAAGATCTCAGCAGAAGATGATTGAACAACTCTACAAACAGCATAACCAGCTTCACACATTACTAGCCAGTTTGAATTTGTGTTTGTCATGCATCTAAAAATGTATTATTAAGAATTAACAGAGATTTAGATGTTAATGTTTATTGAAAATAACACAATTTGAAGTCACCGTTGTGGAGATAAGTGTTTGCTTTAGTTGGGCTCTTGACACTTGACTTTTTAGCGATAGTTTTTCTCTGGTTGCTGTAGCTGTGTTTATGAAACACATTGGTTATGGTAAGAAAAATCAAGAAAACGTGTTTAGATTATATTGGCTGTCTTTTTGATAATGGCATTGTTGTCATGCTGTAGTCACGTTCACTGACATCATTAGTGGTAATGTGTAATATAGTTTGTTATTGATCACAACTGCATTTTAATGAAACAATATGAAGAGCTTTAAAAACACTTTGCACATCAGTATAGAACATCTGTACTGTTTAGACACGCAGACATCAAGAATCAGCATATGAATCTCAACAATGGTGACGATCATCAGACAGATTCATGCTGCAGTGCATTCTGGGTGCACCAATCATAACTCATCCATGGCTCCCAGCATGCATTGCGACATTAATAAATTATGAAACTGCATTGTCTTAGTATTTTCTTTTATTATTACTATTTGCTTTTATTTTTATTTTTTGTTGTGACTTTTTACTGCCTTGTTTTGTCACGTTCAAAAATCACATAAAAATTATCAGAATATTTTGTCACCATTGCTGAGAATCACATGCTGATTCTTCATGTCTATGAGTGCCTGTATTGAAACCTCTTTATGAACCATATTTATAAAAGTCATTTATGAAGTTTTTCTCACATTGTTATCTCATATAACTGCAACAACATAGAAATCATAAAAGCACTACAGCTTTAGACAAATTGCAATCAGAAACTAAAACACATGACATGTTTTTAACATAAGTTCCTTGTCATCATACATGTGTTTAATACACACAATTGTGCCAGCCAAAGAGAAACTTAAGTTTAAAAAGTCAAGGGTCAAGAGGCAACTAAAGCAACCACTATTCACAAAAACGGTAAGTTGAAGGAAAAAAAACATTAAACATTAATTCTCAATAAAGAACTTCTGTTTTAGATACTCCAGAAATAAAGTCTAACTGGTTAGTAATGTGTGAAGCTGGTGATGTTGTTTGTAGAGTTGTTCAATCATCTTCTGCTGAGATCTTGAGAGATTTAATGTCTTTTATTTCATTCATCTAAGACTGTGGCTGAAGTCAGTTGTAGTTCTTGTGTTTCTCTTTTCTTCAGTGATTCTGCTTGTTAGCAGCAGCTGTTCATCACTAATGATCAATCAGAACTTAATTAATCACATAATTATCTCATTAACTTTAACACTGCTTCAGTGTTACTTTAACACTCTTTTAGAGTGGGACCATATATGCTCCATGCAGTGTTAATTTAACACTCGGGAATTTACTGTGTAGCCAATATTAGACTAATGTAATAATATAGTTGCTCCTGATATACGTGAACTTGCATGAACTTACTCCTTGAATACATGTTGCTCACATATTATTGCATCCCAGTTTGTGATGAATACAGTGTTGTTACCAGACTTTAGACATTAATATGTTTTAAGATACTGAAAAAAAAAAACATGTCTGGGAACTTTCTTTAAAAATGACTTAATTTGAAATCTGAGACTTTGTTTCATAACAAAAGTAACCTGCTCTGTCTTGACTGTAAGTGCGTTGTTTGTGTCCTCTTTACTTCGCAATGTATTTTTACTGCATGAGAACATGGTGTGGTGGGAGCGCCATGGCTTGTTGGACATAGCAACAGTAACTAAGGGGTCTTTGCGAAGGGTCAATTCAGTCAAAAGTATGAGGCAGCGCTCTGATATACAGTATTAAAGTTACATAAAATAAAACGTTATGAGACTTTGCCCTAAGCCAAAACAATTTGCTCTGGAACAAATAATGGATTAATGAGACCAAAGACTGCCTGTTAGATTTACCCAAAACAAATTATATCTCATGTTTAACCACTATAGAGACATAAGAGTCCGTGGCAAATTCCAGAAGAGCTGGCTGATGTAATGCTGCTCTCGGCAGCTCACATCTCTGAAAATGTTAAAGCAAATTTAAATATGTTATCTTTATTAACAAAACACATATTTGAAGTCTAATCAACTACATTCTCGCCTAAAAAAACTCTTAAAAAAACTACAGTTGTGCATGCTCAAAATGACCAAAGAAGGCTGTGAAAATAATTCTGTATAATTAATCATTTTGATCTTTCATTTTAAAAAATTTACAAAAATCTAACCTTTCATTGGAAAATAAGAATTTAAAATGGGAGAGAAATCTCATCATGAAATAAAGGTTTTTCTTTAATACACATGGGCCACAATTAATTATACCCTTTTATTCAATGCTTTTTGCAACCTCCTTTATGCTGGGTACACACCACAAGATAATCGGGCTGATTTTGGGCCGATTTCTCCCATTCCGATATAATTTTCAAAATAGTAGAGTATAGTTACAAGCCGAGGTCTCTATACATTACTGCCGCGTTACATTGCTGACAGAATGCAGTGATTTCTAATCTAGATCAGGGGTTTTCAACCTGTGGGGCGCGAGCATCAGTTAATTCAGAGACATTCCCTTGAGGATTTATGAATATGAGTTAGCAAATCTTTAGCCATCCACTAGGGGGCAATCTGACTTCTACTGTTAGTTGACAGTTAGAGCGGAGTTGGCTCGAGTATCAGTCACGCTTATTGACAGTTAAACCCTTTTTAGGTGGGTTTCAGCCCCCCTATCTGGCACCTTAGCCCCCCAAAACTATCTTAACGATCAGGCCAGTGCTGCTTCCTCAAGAAAGTTTTTCATTCTCACGTGTTTTAAGTCTTGTCAGTTTAAACATTAAAGTACTTTTAAGCCATTTAAGTCCAAGACATCTCAGTGCGGTACGCACGCGCTGTGATAAAGCGTTTATATGTGCACAAACAGATAGCCTTCTGTTACGTCCTGAGACGTATTTTATTTGTGATTTGTTCTATGTGCTTTGTGGTGTTCCTGTTTGTTTGTTTTTTCTCTTGTCTACTGCTACCATTCTCATGCAGGTGATTGGGTTCACCTGTTGCTGATTTGCTGCCCATTCACCTCAGCTCCACTGATTGGCTGCAGCCAGGAGAAAGCCAGCATATAAAGCCAGCACTGCCTCACAGCAAGCTGAGAGGGAGAGGGTTGCAGATTGTAACCTGTCACATGGACTGCTTTTCGCTGGCTCCAGATAACCTTATGTCCGTTGTTATTAAATGCTAACCATTGGTGCTACTGTGGGTTTAGTTGGAGACTTGTAAGTTTGTTTAGAATTTAAGTATTTTGTAAGGAAATTTGTAGGGAGGTGGGTGCCTTTCTCTTTAATTGCTTTTCTCCTGGTTGTTTGGGTAGTCAAGGAGATAGGGAAGTTCATTTTGTTATTTATTTTCTTTTGGTTTATGTATAGGTAAGTTATGGTTAACTGAGTTAGTAATCTTTTTGTTTGTTGTGTTGGCCTTTGCCCCCTCCTGAAGCGTATGTTTCCTTATCTTTTTCTTTTGATTTAATTAAAAGTTAAATATTTTCTTTTGTTTGGAGGTGTGTTATTGGGGCTGGAGACAAGAGGTCCCTGTGCTTTCTCTCTCCAAAAGTTTGTTACTGCTAGGTCCATTACCTCTAGACTAAAAGGGCTAGCACGTAACAAGTGGGGGCTCGTCCTTTCAAGTGAAAGTTTACCGTGGTGTAATTGTAAGTATCTGCTCATTTCTTTCTTGTTCTGTTTGGCTGATTTCTTTTTTGGTGAAGGAGAAGGCTTCTGTGGTAGTGAGAATTATGGAATTTGATTTAATTCATTTACTCTTTCTCCTACCATAGAGGTTTTTGAACGTTGCAGGAAGGCAGATTTGTTTTTAATAGCAGATTTCTTTAATATTGAGGTTTCAAGGCAGGCTACCAAACAAGTTATTAAAGATGACTTGCGAGAAAAGCTAGTCGAGGTAGGGATTTTACCAGATTACTCTGTTGTCAGTGCTGAGGAACAACCTGGATTCACAGCAGAAGCTGTGACAGGTGGGGTTCTTCCTGGGCTGGCAACTGAGTCTCTGGGTGAGTCAATGTTAGCGGTCAAGTTGAAGGAGTTAGACCTCCTAATAAAAAAACAGGAGTGTGAAGGGCAGAAGATTAGGCTTCGTGCTATAGAAGCTCAAGCAGATAGGGATATTAAGATGCGTGAGTTAGACTTGCGTGCTCGGGAATTAAATCGAAAGCCAGTTCCTATGCCTCGTTCTAGACTTCCCTCTGCTATATTTTCAAGGCTCCACCCTGGCTCCTCCCTCCATTCTGCTTACCACCCCCTTTGTTTACCTTTGCCCACTTCACCTGCTGCTGTTTTACACCAAGGTACTGATAATGCAGCTACTGAGCCAGATTTTGATGTTGGCAAGTACCTTAAACTCGTACCCCCGTTTAGAGAAGCGGAAGTAGATTCGTATTTCATTGCCTTTGAACGGGTTGCTACGAAATTACGGTGGCCAAAAGATGTGTGGGCTCTTTTGTTGCAGTGCAGTCTTTCTGGTAAAGCGCAAGAGGTTTGCTCCGCCTTACCAATAGATCAGTCCCTTGACTATGATGTAGTAAAATCTGCCGTTCTGCGAGCGTTCGAGTTGGTGCCTGAGGCATAACGTCAAAAATTTAGATCAAATATGAAAACAGCCAAACAGACATTTGTCGAGTTCGCGAGGGAGAAGAAAACCCTTTTCGAGAGATGGTGTCTCTCCAGCAAGATGACTACTCTTGATCAGCTTCAAAAATAATCCCGCTTACAAATCTAAAAGTGTTGCACTTGTACACCCCGCATTTGATGAAAGCCACACAACCGCTTTGTCCTATCAGCCTTTTCTCCTGACTGGCTCAGTGTCTCACTCAGTTGATTCTGAGAGTAAACCTGTCACCATTTTGAGAGACACTGGGTCAGTTCAGTCATTTATTTTAGAGGAGTTATTGCCCCCGGTCTACCGAGACTTACTCCGGTACAGATGTGCTTATACGTGGAATTGGAATGCAGTGTATAAGCGTTCCTCTTCACAATGTCTACTTGAAGCCAGAACTCCTAACAGGTACTGTAAAACTTGGTGTACATTCTCAGTTACCTGTCGAGGGGGTGGGCGTTATTCTGGGGAATGACCTCGCAGGGGGCAAAGTTTTTCCCCGACCAATTGTGGTCCATAACCCTAGCGTGTGTGAGCAACCTGACTTAGCACGTCAATTTCCTGCAGCTTTCCCTGCATGCATTGTGACTCGTGCTCAATCGTCTAAATTTAGAGACATGGTGGATCTCTCTGAATCATTTTTGGTGTCACATGACGAATTTGTGGAAGATAAGATACCAGTAGAGCCAGAAGTTCGTCCTAACAGTGAGAGTGCAGGTACATTTCCTTTAAAGGTTGGTAAGGAGCAACTGGCTGCTGCTCAGAAATTAGACCCCTCATTGGTAAAATGCATTGAAGCTACTGTTCCCCTTAGTCAAGTGTCCAATGCTAAGGTAGCTTATTTCTGGGAAGATACGGTGCTCATGCGCAGGTGGAGGTGTGAAGCTCATGAGGATTCGCAAGAATTCCTCCAAATTGTATTGCCAGCTGGTTATAGAGAGCAGGTGTTAAAACTGGCTCACGAACATGCGCTGTCAGGACACTTGGGTGTCACAAAAACCTTTCACCGAGTTTCACGGTACTTTTATTGGCCCGGATTAAAATCGGATGTATATAACTTTTGTAGATCGTGTCCTGTATGTCAATTGGCCGGGAAATCCAACAAAAATATACCAGTTGCGCCTCTACAGCCAATACCGGTTATGAGAGAACCTTTTGAACGACTCTTTGTTGACTGTGTGGGTCCGGTACCCAAATCTAAGTCCGGCCACGAATACATTCTTACAATCATGTGTACCGCCACACGTTTCCCAGAAGCGATTCTTTTACACTCGATTAAAGCCAAAGTCATCAAGGAGTTGGTGAAGTTCTGCACTACCTTTGGTCTACCCCGTGTTGTGCAAACTGACCAAGGGTCGAATTTTACATCCAAGGCATTCACACAGACCCTTGCTGAGTTGGGGGTCAAACACCAGCTCTCCATCCGGAGTCGCAGGGTGCGCTAAGTCGTCATTAAGGAGTTGGTGAAGTTCTGCACTACCTTTGGTCTGCCCCGTGTTGTGCAAACTGACCAAGGGTCGAATTTTACATCCAAGGCATTCACACAGACCCTTGCTGAGTTGGGGGTCAAACACCAGCTCTCCATCCGGAGTCGCAGGGTGCGCTTGAGAGATTTCATCAAACCCTTAAATCAATGTTGCGCTCCTATTGCGTAGGCCATGGGAAGGACTGGGCTGAGGGTCTTCCGTACCTTATGTTTGCTGTCCGTGAAGCAGAGCAAGAGAGTCTTGGGTTTAGTCCGGCTGATCTTGTTTTCGGTCACACTGTGCGTGGCCCGTTGAAGTTGCTTAGTGAACAATTATTAGCTGAAGACTCCCTGCCTGTGACCGTTCTTGACTACGTCAGCACTGTTCGTGAGCGACTGTATAAGGCCTGCGAACTCGCTAGAGAACACTTGATTACAGCTCAGTCAAGAATGAAGACCCGAATGAAGATAAGAGAAGCGTGAATCGTAGTTTTCAACCTGGTGATAATGTTCTTGTCCTCTTACCTGAACCAGGTTCTGTGTTTCGATCTAAATTTTCGGGTCCATATGAAGTCAAAGAAAAGCTCAGTGACACAAATGATGTCATACATACTCCTGATCGACGTCGTAAGACCCGTGTATGTCACATAAATATGTTGAAACCGTTTATTGTGCACGGTGAGAAGCCTATTTCCTTCTCTGTTTCACCAGTTGCAGTGGCTACTGTTAGTGAAATGCCCGAAGATGAGCCAGTTGAAAAAGTTACACAAGTTGCAGCTAAAAAGCTTCAAAACTCTGCCGTATTGAGTGATTTGCAGAGCTTTCTTGCACACCTGACAACAGAACAGAGTGAGCAAATTATTAAATTGGTTCATGAATTTCCTTCACTCTTTTCGGATGTGCCTGGTAGAACGACCATGTTGACACATGACATTGATGTAGGTGAATCTCATCCAGTCAAGCAACATCCTTATAGAGTAAACCCCAGGAAGCGTGACATAATGAGATCTGAGGTTGAGTATATGCTGCAGCATGGTCTAGCAGTGCCTAGTCAGAGTCCATGGAGTTCGCCTTGTTTAGTAGTGCCTAAACCCGACGGCTCCTATTGATTCTGTACCGACTACCATAAGGTTAACTCCTTAACGAAACCTGACTCCTTTCCTCTGCCTCGGTTAGAAGATTGTGTTGTAGGCTCTGCTAGATATGTCACCAAGTTAGACCTGTTAAAGGGTTATTGGCAAGTGCCCCTAACTCCACGTGCATCTGAGATCTCCGCATTTGTCACTTCTGAACATTTCCTACAATATGAGGTTCTAGCTTTTGGCATGAGAAATGCACCTGCCACCTTCCAGCGCCTTATGCAGGTGGTCTTGTCAGATGTCCCGAATTGTGACGCGTACTTAGATGATGTAATCATCTATTAAAAAATCTGGGAAGAGCACATAAAGACTTTGGAGTTGGTATTCAGTCGCCTGGCTGCTGCCTCTTTAACCTTGAATCTTGTTAAATGTGAGATCGGTAAAGCTGTGGTAACCTATCTGGGGAAACAAGTTGGCCAGGGTTTTGTTAAGCCAGTTGACGCTAAGGTTGCTGCCATACTTGAGTTTCCTACACCCCGTAACAAGCATGATTTACGCCGGTTTTTAGGTATGACTGGGTACTACCGGGGATTTTGTTGTAACTTCTCCACTATTGTGTCTCCTCTTACTGACCTTCTCAGTACTACCAAGAGTTTTAAGTGGAGCACTGAGTGTGTTAATGCCTTTAAGGCTGCCAAAGATCTCCTTTGCCATGCCCCAGTGTTGTCTGCCCCTAATTTTGATTTGCCTTTTAAACTCCAAGTAGATGCCAGTGCTACCGGTGCTGGAGCAGTCCTGCTGCAGGAGGACTCCCGTGGAATTGACCACCCCATCTGCTTCTTCTCCAAGAAGTTCTCGAAATGCCAACAACGCTACAGTACGATTGAGAAGGAGGTCCTCGCCTTGCTGTTAGCTCTTCAGCATTTCGAGGTTTACTTAGGAAGCAGTGCTGTGCCTATCGATGTGTACACTGACCATAACCCACTGATCTTTCTCTCCCGCATGTCCAACTCTAACCAACGTTTGATGCGCTGGGCCCTAATTGTCCAGGAGTATAACCTTAATCCCCAGCACATCCGTGGTAAAGACAATGTGGTGGCGGATGCGCTCTCTAGGACTACAGATGTGGAGACTTAAGTGGGTTGGTTAAAAAGAAAAAAAAATGGCGGAGTTGCACTACTATTGGAGTTTTTACGAGTAGTTTGTTTTACAATCCATGGCTTGTAAAATTTAATGGTGGGGGTGTTACGTCCTGAGACGTATTTTATTTGTGATTTGTTCCATGTGCTTTGTGGTGTTCCTGTTTGTTTGTTTTTTCTCTTGTCTACTGGCAACTTCTTGGACAAACCTTATCTAAGTTCTCATCTTGCCCACTGATCTACGTTCATCTTTATATAGATCAGTGAATTTGCCATTGTGATGTCATCTAGTGACATTTAGCTACCAGTTTTAGCTACTTTCAATTGAAAGCAGTTGGCAACACTGGATAACTTTGTCTGTTATTAAGTGCTAACCATTGGTGCTACTGTGGGTTTAGTTTGAGACTTGTAAGTTTGTTTAGAATTTAAGTATTTTGTAAGGAAATTTGTAGGGAGGTGGGTGCCTTTTTCTTTAATTGCTTTTCTCCTGGTTATTTGGGTAGTCAAGGAGATAGGGAAATTCATTTTGTTATTTATTTTCTTTTGGTTTATGTATAGGTAAGTTATGGTTAAAACTGAGTTAGAAATCTTTTTGTTTGTTGTGTTGGCCTTTGCCCCCTCCTGAAGCTTATGTTTCCTTTTTATCTTTTTCTTATGATTTAATAAAAAGTTAAATATTTTATTTTGTTTGGAGGTGTGTTATTGGGGCTGGAGACAAGAGGTCCCTGTGCTTTCTCTCTCCAAAAGTTTGTTACTACTAGGTCCAGTACCTCTAGACTAAAAGGGCTAGCACGTAACACTTCTCAGACACCAGGTGAATACCAATGGCTATCTTGACAAGTATCCTTGTACACGCACTGTCGAGTCAAGTGCCAGTGGATTAGAGACCTGCTCCCGTGAGACCCGATCCTGCGGCGCGGGATAAGACTTGATAGGCGAGTGCAGAATGTGTGACTGCGCGGGATGCGAGAGAATAAAATGATTCACGGGACTCCCGCGAAATAGAAATATCTAGACATAAAATATCTGAAACAAATAAATTGTTATTCATCTATTGCACAAAAGCAACATGAACTAATATAAATATAAACGATTAACAGGTGCAAGCGTATGCAGAGTTTCTATTTAGGCTATAACATGTGTTTACAGCGTTGAGCAATGCAGTGCTGAAATTTGCGTGTTCACGAATCCTCTCATTATAACACACGAATTGAAGACATTATGAACGATTAATTCCCAGTCAACACATGAGATCATGCGATGATCACAGTGACATCACACGATCCTCATACTGTGATCCTCACGGTGTGAGTAGTATGTGAGCTCATTGTGAGTTCAAACGATCCTCATACTGTGATCCTCACGGTGTGAGTAGTATATGAAATCATTGTGAGTTCAAACGTTCCTCATACTGTGATCCTCAAGGTGTGAGTAGTATGTGAGCTCATTGTGAGTTCAAACGATCCTCGTACTGTGATCCTCACGGTGTGAGTAGTATGTGAGCTCATTGTGAGTTCAAACGATCCTCGTACTGTAATCCTCACCATGTGAGTAGTATGTGAGCAGAGATAAACCTTATAAACTGCTTGATTTTGTGTAACAACTTAAAATATAATCTGCATATACAATAATCTATAGTATTTACATTCTACATAAAATATAGAATTTACATCTCTCTACAGAAAGGATTTTGCAGGTTTTAATAAAATGTTATTTAATAACATTAGTAAGCTATATAAGCATATATCCAGTATGTGCCTCAGGCTTGCAAAGTATCGTCAACTCCTTTATAAGGCATCAACGGTAATCCTTGCAAACTTTCAACACTTCGACGGTCAGCAAACTTTGGCTGTGCGTCTTGCGTCATCAGCCTGGAACTAAAGTTCAATTCAGTTCGGTTACTTCCTATGAACAGGCTCAAACAACAATTTGTTCAGAAATCGAACATCAAATTTGAAGCAAAAGCAATAATTAAAGCATATATCGTTAAGGAGTGGCAACAAAAATGGGATACGGGAAACACAGGACGTCATCTTTATAAAATACAGCGAGAAGTAGGAGTAGTGAGGATATCAAAATGTTATCAAGTTTAAGGGTTGGTCACATGTTGAATAAAACTTTAAAATGAATAAATAAACATCCAACAGGATTATGTGAGCAGTGTTGCACACTTGAAATACGAGACTATAGACAAGCGTAATGAAATGAAGATCAGGTTCATCTTTAATAAACAAAACAAGCGAAAACAAAACAGAGCACAAACATGGCACATCTCTCTTTCTTGCTCACCGCAGAATGTTCAGGACCCCAAAACTTTTTCTAGCTGCCCCACTTGCGCCTGATAGTGCTATGTGTCTTTCACAATGCCCTTGAATCAAAATAAATGAATAGTTGTACATAAAATAGCAGTAAATAAAACAATAATAAAACCTGACATGCATCTCTACTTTTTTAAGGGGGGGGGTACACAAGTTATAATCATGATTTCTATGTTTGCCACAAGAGGAGTCAGTGGAACATCTATGTGTTTGTCAAAAGTATTTTAATGAAAAAGAAACAATGAAGAAGGAACTTAGAAAGGTGGGAGTGGAAGGAATAAAGCTTAAAAAAAGTATAATCACTTATGGATTAGAGAGCTTATTTCTTTATCTCAAAAGTACAGAACTGATAAAGAGAATGAAGGGTTTCTTTTATGAAATGGGTAAACTTTGGTCCACACTCCAACAATGAAGGTGGTGATAATGCACCTTAACGCTGGTGCTACCCACCATAAAACAGAAGAAGAAGAATCAAACATCACTATTCAAGAATCAGCTACGGGAAATAGGTATAGTCAAGTATAATGTTAAAAATATAGTAACATATGGAAGTAATGACCAAGGACGGAGATATTTGTTTAATTTTCTAAGGAGGACTGGACTGGAAGGACGAATTTAATTAAGATATAGTAAGTTAAAGTAAGACATACTTCCCATATCAGGTCATTACTAGACTACATTACTAACTCGGGACCATATTTCAATAACTATACAAACATGTTTTGTGGAAGCATGGAAGCATTATTTTCACCTGTTAGGTTGTTAGCAACTGATTGCAATGGCATATTGTTCTCTGTGTTTCAGGATGTGTCAAGTCTTTCCAAAAGGACAAAGAAATAGAAGTTAAGAATCAAAAAGGAGTCACCAAAATGACACCAAAAGCAGAATGTATGTCAAATTGAAATGTTTGTGTCAAATGCAAACACCAAACTGAAAATAAATCAAAATAAACAAGGAAACTGAATTGTAGAAATACTTGGAAGGAAATAAAAGATGAAATTCTACATGTTTGTGATATTACTGGCCAATATTAGAGAAATTTTAGGTCACCGTTAACTCACACTAAACTAACAGAATGAGTTTAACACAATGATATGACAGTGGTCTCACATGTTGAGCTTACAATATGAACACACACACACATTGCCACCACAGTATGAGCGCACAGTGAGTGTGCTGTGACCTCACATTGCGACCACAGTATGAGCGCACAGTGAGTGTGCTGTGACCTCACATTGCGACCACAGTATGAGCGCACAGTGAGTGTGCTGTGACCTCACATTGCGACCACAGTATGAGCGCACAGTGAGTGTGCTGTGACCTCACATTGCGACCACAGTATGAGCGCACAGTGAGTGTGCTGTGACCTCACATTGCGACCACAGTATGAGCGCACAGTGAGTGTGCTGTGACCTCACATTGCGACCACAGTATGAGCGCACAGTGAGTGTGCTGTGACCTCACATTGCGACCACAGTATGAGCGCACAGTGAGTGTGCTGTGACCTCACATTGCGACCACAGTATGAGCGCACAGTGAGTGTGCTGTGACCTCACATTGCGACCACAGTATGAGCGCACAGTGAGTGTGCTGTGACCTCACATTGCGACCACAGTATGAGCGCACAGTGAGTGTGCTGTGACCTCACATTGCGACCACAGTATGAGCGCACAGTGAGTGTGCTGTGACCTCACATTGCCACCACAGTATGAGCGCACAGTGAGTGTGCAGTGACCTGGGGACAAAAAAAAATTATATCTTCAAGAAATAGACTGTATTTTAATGTTGTTTTAACCCTTTCCCCAACTAAACTAAGAGACTAAGAGAGAGTTAAAGAACTTTTAAAGAACTATACAGGGGCTTAGAGGTTTTACGGTATGGTGCTATATAGCACCTCATCGACTCCAAAGAACCGCTGAATAACCATACAGGGGCTTAATAGGTTCTTTATATGGTAGTGGTGCTATATAGCACCTTAACCACTCCAAAGAACCGCTGAAGAACCTTTTTTTTTTAGAGTGTATGAGCGCATAGTGAGTGTGCTGTGACCTCACACTAACCACAGTATGAGCACATAGTGAGTGTGCAGTGACCTCACATTGTGACCACAGTATGAGCGCACAGTGAGTGTGCATTGACCTCACATTGTGACCACAGTATGAGCGCACAGTGAGTGTGCAGTGACCTCACATTGACCACAGTATGAGGACACAGTGAGTGTGCAGTGACCTCACATTGTGACCACAGTATGAGCGCACAGTGAGTGTGCAGTGACCTCACATTGCGACCACAGTATGAGCGCACAGTGAGTGTGCAGTGACCTCAAATTGTGTCCACAGTATGAGCAAACAGTGAGTGTGCAGTGACCTCACGTTGCGAACATAGTATGAGCACACAGTGAGTGCGCTGTGTGGTTACACTTTTAGCTCACTGTGACACACACATTGTGACCACACCATGAGAATCATGTGAGCTCATGGTGGCATCATTGTGAGATCAAATTGTTGACTGGTGTTCTGTGAATGTTGATGCTTTAATAACAAATACTTATCGGGAGTGTGTATGCTGGGATTTCATGAATTTCATGGAGAAAAAAGTAATGTAACTAGTAATGTAACATTACTAATTACTTTTGAAATAAAGTAATCAGAACAGTAACGTGATTACTTTTAAAAGGAGTAATCAGTAATTTAATTACATTTTCAGAGTAACTTGCCCAACACTGGTTAAGAGTGATTGAATCTGCTCGGAAGAATGTCAGAGGCACCCCGATCGCAAATCGCAAATATTCAACATTTTGAATATTTACGACCAGAAATCCTGATGTGTGGGGGAAACCCCGAGGACAAGCTCGCATACGATCTGGAGATTATCATGTGAAACAAAACAATACCCGATCAGAATATGACAGAAGCTGACAGAAGACGGAAGCATAAGAAACGAAGTCATGGTGCAGCACAAAAGGATTTGGACAGCAGAGATGGAGGATCAGCTTGTCGATTGTTTATACAACGTGTCCATTTTCTGTCAAAATCATTCCAAACACTATCATCACAATTTCTTTCTGCCTATCATCCACCATGTTTATTCTCAAGTCTCGAGAGATTTTGCAAGATTTCCCATGTTCACAGTCGGGACTCTGGTTGAAAATCTGTTGGTGTGTGGTGTGCTGTCTTTGTCACATCGCGGCACACCACACAGTATAGGAGCAAAACCGTTAAATCTAGGATTTTTTGTCCTCATGTTTGTGGTCTCACACATTTTGAAAATCTTATAAGATTTTAAAAATCATTTAGTGTGTACCCAGCATTAGCCAAGATAACAACTCTGAGTCTTCACCTGTAATGCCTGATAAGTTTAGAGAATATCTGACAAGAGATCAGAGACCATTCCTTCATACAGAATTTCTCCAGACCCTTCAGAACTCCTGGTCCATGTTGGTTCTTCTCCTCTATCTTTCATCCCACTCATTTTCTATAGGGTTCAGGTCAGGGAACATTGCAGAAGCTTGGTTTTGTTTCAGTGACCCATTTTTGTTTTGATTTTGATGTTTGTTTTTGGATCATCGTCCTGTTGTAAGATTTAATCCTTGGCCCATTATAAGATTTCTAGCATGGACAGTCAGTTTTTAATTTTTTATCTGTTGGTATTTGATAGAATTCATGATGCCATCTATCTGAACAAGATGTCCAGGATCTCTGGCAGAAATAATAGGCTTACAACATTAAAGATACAGCAGTATATTTAATTGTACACATGGGGTACATTTTTTATCCCTGTGTGCACCAAACCCATCTTCAGTGTTTTCTGCTAAAAAGCTATTTTTTTAGTTTCATCTAACCATACAAGCCAGTCCGGTTTGAAGTTCCAGTAGTGTCATATTTCTGCTTAAGCACTTCAGTATATTCACATAGTTGTCAAAATTAATATACAGCGAGTGTTTTATAACAGATGCTCACCGAAAGAGCGTGCTTAGAAAAAGTTTGTGAGGATCAGTGTGGTGTACATATGTGCATCAGACCATCTAAACGAAAATATCATGAATGTTTAAATCTATCTTGAATTTGTTTTGTTTAAAAATAATTACAAAATCACCCGCAGAACTTTCCACCCCCATTGGCGCTAGTATGGGATTGTGCACACATTTTTTTTTGTCCCATTTAGTAATCTGGCTCTTGGTTTTTACTCGGAAAGACACACAACTTGCTATAGTCATGTGCGGCAGGTTTGTGGCAATCTACATCTTGGCCTATTCAACACTGCTATTAGTTGCTTTGCATTTTCCCTTGAATTCCTATTTGTGGATTACTGAAAATGTGACTGTTCCCTCTCTGCTCTCTCTTTACAACAACAGCTTTTGCCAAGACACACTTATCTTCGGGTAAGTGCTGTTTTGGTGTTTTAAATGTTGTCTAGAGGTGTAATTCAAACAGAACATTTTCTGTAGTGATCTTTTGGTTTGGTATGCATGTACGAAACAAATACAGTGTTGTTTTAACCACTGCATTTGCTGAATTTAATTGAAAACTTCTAGTTTTATATATCTTCATCTTAACGTATAGACATCTAGTCTTAATTTATTTTTTTTAGTCTATGCTGTTTCAGTTGATATATGAGAATAAAACTTCATACATTATCACTATACATTACCTCCCGTCCAATAATCCTCCAATAATCACAACAAGCTTTGTGTTTTGTTAAGTTTGATAAGAAACAAAATCTCATCTTTCAGATTCTGTCTGTAAAAAAAGAACTGAGAACAAAAATGAAGAAAAGCAGGAAAAGAAAAAAAAAAGCCTATGCCCGTATTTTCAGGACCTTCTGCACCAACTTCAGATTTTTCTCTTCAGGGATCCTGCATCTGTTGTGCACAAACTTCAGAACATTCACTTTCAAGGCTCTTTGATCTGCCTGTCCAAAACAAAGACCTTCTCTGTGCTCTAGGAGTTCAACATTCCACAGTGCCTTGTGTTCAAGACTTTAAATGGAATCCAACTCCTTTCCAGCACAACTAGTGGAATACATCTGCCATCATTGGACTCATTACATGACTAAAGTCCTCTACACACTGCACAATTTTAGCAAGTCTAAAATTCTATATCTGCATAATTGCAGATCACACTGTGTGACATGGATCTAATAAACTTGGATAGGACATGTATGTAGACTGTACAATGATGACACCTATTAACTCGTACGATATGACGCACGTTTCTATAGAAGAATAAAACGTCATCAGCATGTTAACAAAAAGAGCATGATGAATAACATGTTGACAGTTGTAGATTTTATGTGTGCTGAAAAAAAACAAAGCGGCAAAAGAGGAAGGGATAAGAGCTTGAGGTAAGCAGTTTTATGTTTTAGCGCTATGTTGCGTTGATTTCATGTCACGTCTTTATTGGTTGGTCAGTAAACGTGGATCGTAGCAGCAAACACACTGCGACACGATTGTTTCACAATGCCATTCTTTCGACTGGGGCAGCTGAAAATCGTTCAGTGTGTCTCGAGCTTTAGTGGAACGTAAATATAACTTTTCCAAACCCCTTTTCGGAGACCTTGAAATTAGTGTGCATTGTCAGTATATAATGTTCTACTTTGCATTAGATTTTGTATACCTGATGCCAGTTAATTACAAATAATCATTTGTTTTATTTGTTGAATAATTCAGGTTTTCCTTATTAGTTCCAGAGAAACAACAGTTTTATCTTTCCATACAATTATGTGTAACTGCTATGGTAACATCCAACTTAGTCACCTTGCAATTATAAATCTTATGCATTTTACTTCCTTATACATTAATGGTTTTCATTTAGTAGCTGTTTACCCTTTTATTACACTTTTGTTGATATTACAGTAGATGCTCTACAAGTTACAAGCAATCGATACTGTATCTCACAAATCCTTCAGACTGGTCACATAACAAACTCACTCCAATTTACATTTATTCAACAATCATTCTTGATTAATTGTTAAAGTTAGAGTCCTTAGCTGGTGCTGCAAAATAATACAAGGAAACAGTCATCTGACTCACCTCACCTTTGCGATCCACTGCATTCTGGTGCCCAGTCGTGAGAAAACACGATACACGGTGGTATCCGTGTTTGACATATGCCTACATTGTACTATTAATTCTGCTACATCACTTACTTCTTACAGCTAATGCCAAAAATCACCAATTAAATATTAAGCTACTTGTTACTTATGCTATATTTTTGTGAGATTTTTAAAGATGAAAATTTCTTCAGCTCTGTGTGGACTCTAGTGTGCAGGGAAAGTAAGACTTACGGCATCCCTTCTCGTCACTCTTGTCGAAGCAGTCTGGAAAGCCGTTACACTGCCAACCTCCAGGAATACATTCACCATCGCTGCACATAAAATTTCCTGGAATGTTGCACTCTGTTGTAAAGTTATTTCCAGGTAGAAGCTGACAATCTAAGGAAAAGAGACAATTGTATTTACAAACAGTCTATTGAAGAGTATATAACTGGTGAAAGGATTCTAGGAATAACATTCCTGACACAACTGTTAGATAATTGAGAGATAAAAAACTTGAGCACTTTATTCTCTTAACTTATCTTGGTAACCATTTTTAATAATTGCATGCTATGAGTCATTAGTTAAGCATTAGTAAATAGTCAATTCATTCTTTATTAAGCATTATCCCTACATTAATAGACAGTAGTAAGTAGTTTATAAATGCAGCTTTAATAAATGCTTTGTTCTTGATTTATAAGCATATCTATAATGTTTTTAGTACTTGTATTTTCATAATTTATTAATGATCATTTTATCATTTCTAATTTAAGCATTATATTATTAACAAGTTAGAAAGTCTAACTAAATGATTAATAAACTATTTAAATGCACATTTATACATATTATTTAGACATAGTAATAGTTACACAGTGTGTTAGTAAATGCTTTATTAACACGTATTCTTACTGTAATTCATGATTAATTCAGGTAGTTATAAAACCTGTACTAGTTGTCAGTTAACTATTTTTGTGAGCTCATCTAAAAATGCCTCGTAAAAGCTTTTACATAAGCGATTTAAAGGCTCAGCTATCTTCTAAACAGAAAAATGAAACAAACAAACAGAGTGATACAGAACAGACATATTTATTTCAAGATGCAAAAAACAAAACTGTATGACTGTACAAGTATAAACTGTATAAAATGAAAAATAACCCTCTGCAATGTCATAGAAAAATAACATTTCCTGTACACCTCCAAAAAACATAACTGTACAGTAACATGAAACTAAGCCTCTGCAATCTGATATAAAAATACATTTTTGATCGTTTGTTGAATATATTTATTTTTCTATTATAGTTAATTGTGAGTCTTCAGGCTACTTTGCCCATCACCCATTATAGATCAACTAACATCATCTATAAAGGTGCAAAATGCATTTACTTACACATATTTGAGAATCAAGATATTTCATGATATAGTTAACACGTTTGGGAATATTTCAAATAAAAAGGAATAAATAAATAAATAAAACATGAGCCTATATCAGTTATACTTATATATAGCCTACACTGAAAAAAATGTTTTCATTCATCCAATTAATGTTTTTATTCATCCAATTAAAAACATTTAGGGTAATGGTTCACAGATGTTATTTAAGTTAAATACCATATGTTATTTAAAATACATAAAAATAAATAAAAGTTATTTATTTTTTATTGGCTCAAGTTATAAAATATAGATATATTTTATAACTTGAGCCAATAAAAATAAATAACTTGAATAAATATTATTTTCTATGTCTATGAAAACTATTTTATAAAACCTGGCACAAAGTATATTTTTCTAGTTAAAGAAAGTCAATTCAAGTCAGTTCAGTTTGTTTAATCAAACAGAAATCAAAAATTATTTCACATTTTTAAAAATACAAGTAAAACGAACAAAAAGATTTGGACTTAATAAAACATGATGTGATGTGAACCAATCCTTTTTTTTTTAATTGGATGAATGAAAACATTAATTGGATGAATTAAAAAAAAAAAACAGTGTATATGGCTGCTGCCTGTCACATGACAAGCATGACGAGCAACTGCAAACCCCCGCCCCCGCCCCCTGCCTTCACTCTAGCCACCCGAAAAAAACAATAAGTGCATAACCACCATGTTATTTGATCTTGATCTATGGACTATTCAATGGCAGCTATGCAGCAAGCTGTTATGTAATGCAGTCAGAGTAAGAGTACAACATGTAAATTCAACTACTCTCTAAAGACATGAAAGTGAGTGGCTTGTGGATTGAATTGAATTTAACAGAATAGTAATTTACAACAGCTTTGAACACGGCTCAACCAATCAGAATCAAGGACCAGAACTATCCGTTTTATAATAATGTTTTTATTAATATCATTACACTTTATTTGCTCTGTTTTATTTTGTGAAACCTTACTATGTATATGGAATAACCATTTTATAAAAGCAATAAACCCCGTGAAACTGTGGTTTACAGTTAATTTACAACAGCTAAGGGGCATTGTTAAGCACGACGCAATGCCTTAGCTTCTTGGGGCTTATTGCTTTATCAATTTTCAAGATCTTTATTGACATATATAGGCTACTAGGATTTACTTGAAAAAAGCTTGGAAACAATTTTCACTCAGAAAAGGCTAAATTTACAAATTTGCCAAGTAAAAGCCTAAACATAATTATTAGTAGCATTAAATATAAATTTTTAAGTTAACTTAAACAAGTTTACTTGGGAATTCCAAGTAAAATTGATTGACTCTTTGTAAGTTGTACTTAAGTAATGCTTATAAATACACCGTAAAAATTGTGCTGTTAAATAACAGTAATTTACTGGCAACAGGGGCAGCAGGGTTGCTTCATTTTTACAGTATGCTACCATAATCCTATGGAAATTAACTCAGCTCTGATTGCTTCAAACAGTTAGAGTTTAAAAATTATTATTCATACGGTGTTAGTACTGTGAACTTACCACTGACAAAAAATATTTCTTAGTATAAAACAGCAAACACTTAATGGGTAATATTAAAATAACTAAAAGCATGACTTTAATTCATATCGTTGCAGTTCATTGTCAGCTATAGCAGTGGTTCCCAACCTTTTTTTGTCTGAGACCCCCTTTTTCCCAAGAAAATATTTTAGGGCCCCCCCTTCACATTTAATGATATTATCGCTCTGCTGAGGCCCCCTTGTGGGCCGGGACCCCCCTGTTGGGAACCGATGAGCTATAGCACACATGTATGTGCTGAAACACTTAACACAGAGATCATCACTGTATCAGCAACTCCACAGATACTGGTTTTAAATAAAGCAGCAGAACATCAGTGTTTGAGGCTCATCATTGACTGAAGCACAAGCTCTACTCTCCAGCACAATGGCGACCCACAAAACTACATTAATTAATTATCTCTCTTGTGCAAAAACACATTAATAAAGTTCAGTTAAATATTTACTCTCACTATCAGTTCATGACTTTGCCTAACTTTTTTCTATGGACCTTCACTAATATTTCAGTGAAAATAACTTTTTTCGTTTAGTTAATCAGACTTACGTTTTACAGTATATTGCTGTTTTTTTTTCTTTGAATTAACAGTCATTTACTGGCAGCACGGTTTGCCAGTAAATAACTGGTTTTTACACTTTTGTTTGCCGTAAATTAATTACAATTTATTACTGTTAAATTACATTTCATGCAGTTTTTTTTTTTCATCTTACATCTTTAACCCTTTAAACCCCACAGCAAAATCCTCAGTTTTAAATGAACACATAATGTGTCCACACTACAGCGTTAGAGTAACACTGAAGCAGTGTTAAAGTTAATGAGATAATTATGTGATTAATTAAGTGATGATTGAGCATTAGTGATGAACAGCTGCTGTTAACAAGCAGAATCACTGGCTACGTTTACATGCACAATTTTTGGTTCAATCAGATGGAATTCATTCCGATTGATTACAGGACACGCATTTATACAACACTTTATTCAAAAGGAAGAACCGCTCGTTCCGTGCGTCATACGTCATTACGCTATTTCTGCATCATTGCACATGCGCAGTTCTTTCAGTTTCGGGGTTCAATCCGATCGAGTGTTTACATGCACTCTCAATCGTATTAGAAAAGGAATAAACCACCCCCTTCAATCCGATCGAACAGAATGAGCCATCAATCCGATTACAAATGGATTATTTGGTTGCATGTAAACGTAGCCACTGAAGAAAGGAGAAGCACAAGAACTACAACTGACTTCAGCCACAGCCAATGAAATCAAACTAAATAAAAGACATTAAATCTCTCGAGATCTGATTAAACAACTGAATTCACTCATTAGTTTTCATTCTCTCTGTCAGGTGGACTATATTAGTAAACTCATGTAGGGAATAGTAAATGAGGGTGTAGGGTGTGATTTGAAACACAGCCTCTGAGTGTCGACTCTGAACGCTGTTACTTCCCATTACTGCAGAAGGCCATTTTCTCGAAAACAACAAATCCACAAACAGCAACACCAACTTCACACATTACTAACCAGTTAGACTTTATTTCTGGAGGATCTAAAACAGAAGTTCTTTATTGAGAATTAAGGTTTAGATTTTTTTTTCAACTTACCGTTTTGGTGAATAGTGTTTGCTTTAGTTGCCTCTTGACTTGTTAAACATAAGTTTTTTTTTGGCTGTTACAATTGTGTTCATAAAGCACATATGTGATGACGAGAGACTTATGATGAAGTCGTTTCTGATTGCATTTTATCTAAATCTGTAGTGATTTAATGATGTGTGTTATTGCAGTTCTATGATATGAGACAATTTGAGATCTATGGCTCATAAAGAGGTTTCAATTCTGTCACTCATAGACATGAAGAATCAGCATGTGAATCTCAGCGATGGTGACTAAATATAAGCAAATAGTAAGAATAAAAGAAAATCCTAAAACAATGCAGTGGCATAATTTATTCATGTCGCAATGCATGAGTTATGATTGGTGCACCCAGAATGCACTGCAACATGAATCTGTCTGATGATCGTCACCATTGTTGAGATTCATATGCTGATCCTTGATGTCTGTGTGTCTAAACAGCGCAGATGTTCTAAACTGGTGTGCAAATTGTTTTTAAAAGCTCCGTATTTTTTTTAAGATGCAGTTGTGCTCAACAATATAAATTAAATTACACACAACCATTGATGACATCAGTGAATCAGGCTATGCATGATAACTACAACAGTATCAAAAAACAGCCAATATAACCTGGTAACATTTTCTCCTTGTTTTTATTGCCATAATAAATGCATTTCATAAACACAGTTACAGCAACCAGAGAAAAACTAGTGTTAGAAAGTCAAGGGTCAAGAGCCCAACTAAAGCAAATGCTTATCTCCACAACGGTGTCTTCAAATTGTATTATTTTCAATAAACATTAACATCTAAACCTCTGTTAATTCTTAATAA